AGGTATGCCGAAGATACTCTGAAAGTACGTCGGACACACTCTTTGAATGTACGCTGAAGGTACGCGGCTTCTGTAATGCGCTTGATAAGAGGCGTTATTGAAGGCACACCGAAGGTCCGATGAAAAGACGCGCGTCAAAATCAGCCAAGGTACCGTGAATGCGCGCAGAAGGTAGACAGGAGCGGGGGGGAGAGGACAGACCCCCCACTTCCCCCGCTTCCAGAGACCCCCGCTCCCCCAAACCCCGCGGACCCAGAAAGGGGCCACACGCGACGGACCCAGAAACGACCTCATTACGGCGGGGCCATGCTCCCAGGGCCACGATAACTCATAAATCGCTCTGCGCCCGCGCTTCCAAGGCCGCGATCCCTCGTGAATTGCGCTGTCTCCGCGCTCCCAGGGTCACGATCCCCTGTATATTACGCTGGTGTCGCGCTCCCAGCGCAACGATCCCCCGTACATTGTGGTGGTGTCGCGCTCCCAAGGCAACGATCTCTCGCAAATTACACTAAATTCGCGCTCTCAGGGCCACGAACCATAGTAAAACACGCTGGGTTCACGCTCACAGGGCCACGATCCATCGTAATAAACGCTGGGTTCGCACTCACAGGGCCACGATGCATCGTAAATTACACTGGGTTCGCGCTTCGAGGGCACAGATCCCTCGTAAATTACGCTGCGCCCCCGCTCCCAAGGCCACGATCCCTCATGAATTGCGTTGCTTCCGCCCTCCGAAGGCCACGATCCCTCGCAAACTACGCTGCGTCCGCGTTCCCAGGGTCACGAAGCACCGCGCAGAGGTTACCCAAAAGGGTACCCTCCTTACCAGAGCAAAGACGCATACTTCTCTGTATTGGAATATATGTGGTCGAGGGGCGCTTTTAAGCCCCCCCCGCCATCTCCTGGAAATCAGGCGCTGGACCCGAAGCCGCGAATCAGCATAAATAACGAATCGTCCGCGCGCCCAAGGCCGCGATCCCTCGCGCAGTACGCTGGATTCGCGCTCTCAAGGCCACGGTCCCTCGTTAGTTACGCTGCGTACGCGCTCCCAGGGCCAGGATCCCTAGTACATTACATTGTGTCCGCGCCCCCAGGGCCAGGATTCTTCTTAAATGATTACACTGTGTCTGCGCATCCAGGGCCAGGATCCCTGTCAATTACGCTACGTCCGAGTTCCCAGGGCCAGGACCCTTCGTAAATTACGCGGCATCCGCTGTCCCAGGGCCACGATCCCTTGTAAATAACGATCCGACCGCACTCCCAGAAACACCTGGGCATCCTGGAGAGCCCAGGCCTTTCAAGCGCTGCAAAACAAGTGTTTCGCTTAAGACATCCTCAGATATATTCGGCACGCAGGGCGCGCCATACCCCGAGCAGGCACGCAAAAAGCAAACATTCCTTCTGCAAAACGAGCGCGGGGCTCGAGACATCCTCGACATTCCTGCGCGCAGGACGCGCCATCCCCGAGCGGGCATGCAAAAAGTCAGCTTCTCCATATTTCTCGCAAAAATTACAAATGTTAGAGTCTCAGCACATCGTTATTTAGTAAGGACTCTGTGCAAAACGCTTCGCACCCTCTTTTCTACAGAAGATAACGGGGGTCTGCGAACTCCGTTAGGCAACGAAGATCCGCGATGGGGGGCACGTTTTCCTCGAGCGGGCACGCGCGAAACGCGCTTGTTCCACGCCGAATGGGACTTTACATCGCTTCTATCTAAGAGAACCCTGGGCCGGAGCCCTTTCCGGGAAGAAGAAGGCCCTGGGCCCCCGCACTTTCCGAGAATCCAACTTTCCAACAGAGCCAGCTACCTATCGCCGAAAGCGCCGCCTAAGCGCGCCCCAAGAGCGCCCCAAGAGTGCCCCGAAAGGCGACTGTTCGGTCTCAAGACGGGCAAGGCTAATTATGACGAACCCACCCTTCTTTGATCGATGTCCTCCAAGGTGGCCCCGAGAGGGCATCCAAGGACCCGAAAGAAGGCCCCAAAATGGTCCCGAGAGGTCACCAAGAGACCCCCAAGAGGCCCGCAGGGGGTCCCCAAGAGGCCCGCAAAAGGCCTCTGAAGAGGCTTCCCAGAAGCACCCAAGGCGCCCCAGGTGGCCTGGGGACCGCCACGAGGCCCCCGAGACGCACCAAGAGACCTCCGAGAAGCGTGCAAGAGATATCCCCAGAGGCTCCGAGAGGCATCCACAAAGCCTCTGGCTCTTCTGATCGCCCTCCTCCTCATCCGCCTGCTCCTCCTCCTTCTACCCCATCCCCCATCCATCTTCCTCCTTCGAACGGTGACGGCTGCCCCACTCGTTGCTCCTACACTTCTCTGATCACCTCAACTCGTCTGGACATCGTTCATGGATGGGCCGGTGGGGACACGCGAAGCGTCAACATTTTTATATTGAGAAACTACCATGTCATTTCGCCGTTGCCGGTATGTTCTTGTTCCGCCTCGTCACCCTCCTCCGTCTCGCACATGTGAGAACGTCGGTGCCAAGCGTCGCAAAAACTTGTTTCTCGCAGTTGACGACGGACCAGCCTCGGAGCATGCGCACAGCTTGCATTAGCATTCTAGCATGCGAATGATGCCTGGCACGGCGGTCCTAAACCATGTACAAGAAAAGGCCTGCGCAACGCAATCCAACCAACCCTTTCGGGCGTGACTTGTCTAAGGAAGATGTCGTCCCAACCCCCATCCTTCCCCTTTCGGAGAGGAGGGCTACCACTCTGCAACTTATTAACAAACATAATCTACCCCGCTCGACCGGCCACCGACCAAGGTCGATGCGGGCACTCCCCCTACCATTCCTGTCAAAAATTAGCCTGGCGAAGGACCCAACCACATGCAGCTGCGAGTAACGCAGGAAACGGCCCTCTCATCATATGTAGCGCGCCGCGAGAGCCACGGAGCACAGGGCAGCGTGGATGGGAGCCATGAGACGCGTGAGGGAATGCCAGAATGGGTGGGGGAAAGCATGCGACCGTTCCCACTGGGGCCTTCGGTGGAGCTCCTTAATGGAGCCAAGAAACGTGTGAGACGTGTGTCAGAGTGTGGGGGGGGGGAGGGGCTTCATGCGGGCTCACCCCCTGGGCCTTCGGTGGAGCTCCCTACATGGCCAGGACGAAAGTGTGTTCCTCTTGGAGGCCTAAACGCCCATACCCAGGACGAAAGTGTTTTTCCTCTTGAGCCCGGAACGACGGTTGAAGTCTTCAGCAGACGCGGATGAGATAACCGCCGTCGGATTCCATAAACTCGCGCGGATCCAATTTGGGTTTTGGTTTCTGTTTCGGGAAATCCGATTTCCGTCCGCGCGGGTCCGATGGAAGTGGAAAACATGGGATCCACGGGCCCCGGAACCCGCCCGTAATAAGATTCTACAAGGGAAGGGGGTTCGATCATCACCTTTCCAAGATGGGCCCCGCGCTGTCTCGCGCACTTCCATAAACTGTCCGTGCGCGCGGGCCCCACTCAACATCAGTGCATCTCTCTCCTCCTGGTTGTTGCGCGCAGCTCGTCCAGACGCCGTCGCTTCGGCGGCGCAGGTTTATCTCACGAACTCATCATCGTCAGTTTCACCTCAAGAGGCAAATCTCTCGTCCTGCGTAAGTATGGGCCCGCAAGTGAGGGGGGGCGGCATGCGAACGTAGCCGCAGCCATTGGGGCCTCAGATGGAGCTTATGGGGCCGTGAAACGTGTGATGGGAGTGCCCAAGTGACGGGGGGCGGCATGCGAACGCAGCTACTGGGGCCTCAGGTGGAGCTCCCTGTGGAGCCGCGAAACGTGTGTGAGCGGTGCACCAAAGTGAGAGGGGGCGGCATGCGAACGCAGCCACTGGGGCCTCAGGTGGAGCTACCTGTGGGGCAACGAAGCGTGTGAGGGGTGTACCAAAGTGAGAGGTGGCGACATGCGAACGCAGCCACTGGGGCCTCAGGTGCAGCTCCCTGTGGGGCCACGAAACACCTGAGGGGTGTGCCACAGCGAGGGGTAGTGGGAGTGAGCGAGACGGTTTGTGCCTTGTGGTTGGAGGCTTGACCCATCTCCCTACCCTCTCCCACTGGGTCTGAGGGAGGTGGGGGACGCGTCGGAGGGCTGTGTAGCCAAAGATGGCTCCAAGAGGGCCCCAGGCAGCCTAAGATGGCCTCCAAGATCGCACAAGATAGCTCAAGATGGCTCAAGACATTCTCCAGCGTTTCTAGAGACCGCCCCAGAACGGCTTCAAGTGGCGACGGAGCCTCCAAAGAACGCCACCGAGAGGCCAAAGCCCGTCCTAAACCTCGAGCAAGTCAAGGCTGTTTGCCTTCTTGCCTGTTCGCTGCCGATAGGCTTCTGAGGCCTCACGGTGGTGCCCTAAATGGCCCCAGAGAGCCCCAAGAGGGGCCCAAGACGGCCGCAAACGCACCAAAGAGCACCCCAAGAAAAGCCCCAAGAGGCGACGACTACGGCTCTGATGGGGGGGCGTCGTCGTCGTCGTCGTCGTCGTCGTCGTCGTCGTCGTCGTCGTCGTCGTCGTCGTCGTCGTCGTCGTCGTCTCATTATTCCTCTACCATCTGATTCCTCCTTCTCCTGACTTCTCGTCCGCCTCTTCCTCCCCTCCTCGTCTCATCATCATCTGTCCCCCCCCCATTATCTTTCAAAAGGGAATTGCTGCCCCCTTTTGTTCCACTGCATGACTTACACTGCCCTGTATCATGGCAATTCGCAGGGCGTTGTTTCTGGATGGGCCCGCGGGGATGCGCGCAGCGTCATTAATACGATCGCGCTACAGCTGGCAAGACGTCGGGGATGCCCCAAAGACTGGCATATTGAGGGCGCCGGAAAGATTGAAGACAGCAGAAATGCCCGCTGGCCCATCGCGTTGCGCCCCAGACATCCCAGAGCCACGCAAGAGGAACATCGACGGCATCGAGCATGCAAAACTCCAACGCAAGACTCACCAATGGAGGCGACCCCATCATTTTGAGTCGTCGTGTCCGTGCCTTTCATACCCCGTGCAGAGCTTGGCTCGCCATCTCAGACGGCCACAGGCCGCGCCCCCTTCTGATCCTGGTCCTGATTCGATGCTAGCACAGTCGGAAGCCCAGAAGCTGCGATGCTAGCTGGTGGCCCAGAAACCTCAACCGTTTTCCACGCGCGGAAAGCGCGCACCACATCCACAAGACTATAAACGATTACCAGAGCACTGACGGCTATGACCACAGAGGTGAAAATCGTGACGACATTCTCCGCTCCTTTCGCCGCCTTCCTGGCCTCCTCGGTCAACCTCACCTCGACGAAGCCACTGATAGGTTGCTGGACCATGTTGGTGTCGATAAATGGCGCAGACACTACGCTGCAATTGAGACTTGCTGGCAGACCCGTGTGCGCTGGGCAGGGGTCTTGGCCAATGACTGCGAGGCCCAAATGTTCAGGGGTTGCCCATTTCAACATCTCCTCCTCTGTCGGACTACAAACCATGCCAGTGTAGACACATGTAGGATTGAATGCTGCCGGGGCACTGTCGTTTGGACCAGGGACGAAACAAGGGCCGCTCAACCAACCGCACCACAAGTCGCTGGTAGCCGTAGAGCAGAGTGGCAAACCCATGATCGTCATGCAGACCTCATCAGTTGAGATGGTGTGGGTGTACATGGGGGAGTAGCCCTGCAAAAACAAGGATCCAATGATGCCTGCGAAGGCTGGCGTTTGCATTGCAGTCAGATTCAAAAATACGTCAGCAACAATGTCGCAAGCGCCGTTCGCCTGCAACACCACATCATGCGACGGAGCGCCGTGGCCGATGTGAAACAGATAACGTTCGCTGGTTGTTGTGGAAAACGCCTGAATGTACGTATTCGTCATGCTGTCCTCTTTCTTCGTAGTGATGCTGTACTCATTGGGGTTCTCGCACGCGTTCGTGAGCTGAGTTCCATCAGCACTTGGTAAGGGGATGGTGCACTCAATGGGCGTGAAGAATGGTTTGTAACGCGACTGCTCCATGCACGCGTAAATCAACACGAAGGTTGACGTCAAGATGTTCCACGCGCCGCAACCCATGCGTGCTTTGGGACTGCAACACTTCGCAGCGCACGACCCTGAGCCAACCATTGCAATGACGACTTAATTAGGGATCCAAAAGGGGATTGAGAGGACTCCCTGGTTGACCAGTCGGCTGGAAATGAGTTCGCTTTGGCCAAATTTGAATTCGCTTGGGTCAAAATGGCTGCAGGGAAAGAATGGGAAAGGAGGCGATGCAAAGCAATGCCATGCAAATTCGCCAGCCCAACGGGTGGCCTGGACACGTAAAAACACGTAGTTCCAGCTCGGGGCCACCACGATTGATACCCCATCGGGGCGGTCTGGACACACGAAAACAAGTGGCTCCAGCTCGGGAAAACCATGTTAGACACCTCCCTGGGTGCTTTGGACACGTGGAAACAAGTGGTTCCAACTCGGGGCAACCATGTTAGATACCACCCTGGCTGACCTGGACATGTGAAAACACGTGGTTCTAGCTCGGGAACATCATGTTAGATAGCCCGGTGGGAAATTTGAAAAATCGCCGACCGAACAAGCTGTGTCAAATTATTCTCTACACATTTGGTGCCGTTGTATTGATATTGTCTTGCCTTTGTGGGCTCCCACGCCGGGGAGGGCCCAGACAACCACTCGTTAGATACCCCCCCCTGGGTGGCCCGCACACGTGAAAACGTGTAATTCCACCTCGGGGCAACCATGTTAGATACCTCTCTGGGTCGCCTGGACACGTGACAACACGTGGTTCCAGCTCGGGGCCACCGGTTCCAGCTCGGGGCCAACATGCTCCAGGGGACGCGCCAGGGGACGCGCCAGGGACTGTGCCATGGGACGAGGCACGGGACGCGCCAGAGACGCGCCAAGGGACGTGCCGCGGATAACCTGGAGCCTCATGAGATCTCAACGACCCGTTATTAGTCGACATGTCAAGGGCCACGCGAACCCTCGTAAATTACGCTGCGTCCGCACTCCCTGGGCTACGATCCACCACAAATTCCGCTGGCCCCGCACTACCAGTGCCACGATCACTGCGTCCGCTCCCACAAGGCCACGATCCCTCATAAACTACGAAGCGTCCGCGCGCTCCCAGCGGCACGACAGAGCCAAGATGCATCTTAAATTACGCTCGGTCCCTGGTAAATGACGCATGCGAAGGTATGCCGAAGATACTCTGAAGGTACGTCGGACACACTCTTTGAATGCACGCTGGAGCTACGCGGATTGTGTATTGCGCTTAATAAGAGGCGCTATTGAAGGTACGCCGAAGGTCCGACGTAAGTACGCGCGTCAAAATCAGCCAAGGTACCGTGAATGCGCGCAGAAGGTAGACAGGAGCGGGGGGGAGAGGACAGACCCCCCACTCCCCCCGCTTCCAGAGACCCCCGCTCCCCCAAACCCCGCGGACCCAGAAAGGGGCCACACGCGACGGACCCAGAAACGACCTCATTACGGCGGGGCCATGCTCCCAGGGCCACGATAACTCGTAAATCGCACTGCGCCCGCGCTTCCAAGGCCGCGATCCCTCGTGAATTGCGCTATCTCCGCGCTCCCAGGGTCACGATCCCCTGTACATTACGCTGGTGTCGCGCTCCCAGCGCAACGATCCCCCGTACATTATGCTGGTGTCGCGCTCCCAAGGCAACGATCTCCCGCAAATTACACTAAGTTCGCGCTCTCAGGGCCACGAACCATAGTAAAACACGCTGGGTTCACGCTCACAGGGCCACGATCCATTGCAATGGACGCTGGGTTCGCACTCACTGGGCCACGATGCATCGTAAATTACACTGGGTTCGCGCTTCGAGGGCACAGATCCCTTGTAAATTATGCTGCGTCCCCGCTCCCAAGGCCACGATCCCTCGTAATTACGCTGCGTCCCCGCTCCCAAGGCCACGATCCCTCGTGAATTGCGCTGCTTCCTCGCTCCGAAGGCCACGATCCCTCGCAAACTACGCTGAGTCCGCGCTCCCAGGGTCATGAAGCACCGCGCAGAGGTTACCCAAAAGGGTACCCTCCTCACCAGAGCAAAGACGCAGACTGCTCTGTATTGGAATATATGTGGTCGAGGGGCGCTTTTAAGCCCCCCCGCCATCTCCTGAAAATCAGGCGCTGGACCCGAAGCCGCGAATCCTCATAAATCACGAAGCGTCCGCGCGCCCAAGGCTGCAATCCCTCGCGCAGTACGCTGGATTCGCGCTCTCAAGGCCACGGTCCCTCGTAAGTTGCGCTGCGTACGCGCTCCCAGGGCCAGGATCCCTAGTACATTACATTGTGTCCGCGCCCCCAGGGCCAGGATTCCTCTTAAATGATTACACTGTGTCTGCGCATCCAGGGCCAGGATCCCTGTAATTACACTACGTCCGAGTTCCCAGGGCCAGGACCCTTCGTAAATTACGCGGCATCCGCTGTCCCAGGGCCACGATCCCTTGTAAATAACGATCCGACCGCACTCCCAGAAACACCTGGGCATCGTGGAGCGCCCAGGTCTTTCAAGCGCTGCAAAACAAGTGTTTCGCTTAAGACATTCTCAGATATTCGGCACGCAGGGCGCGCCATCCTCGAGCAGGCACGCAAAAAGCAAACATTCCTTCTGCAAAACAAGCGCGGGGCTCGAGACATCCTCGACATTCCTGCGCGCAGGACGCGCCGTCCTCGAGCGGGCATGCAAAAAGTCAGTTTCTCAGTACTTCTCGTAAAAATTACAAATGTTAGAGTCTCCGCACATCGTTATTTAGTAAGGACTCTGTGCAAAACGCTTCGAACCCTCTTTTCTACAGAAGAAAACGGGGGTCTGCGAACTCCGTTTGGCAACGAAGATCCGAGATGGGGGGCACGTTTTCCTCGAGCGGGCACGCGCGAAACGCGCTTGTTCCACGCCGAATGGGACTTTACATCGCTTCTATCAAACGGACATTCGCCAGCCCAGCTCAGCATGGCACCCGGGGACAGGTTTACCAACAAAAGAACCCTGGGCCGGAGCCCTTTCCGGGAAGAAGAAAGCCCTGGGCCCCCGCACTTTCCGAGAATCCAACTTTCCAACAGAGCCAGCTACCAATCGCCGAAAGCGCCGCCTAAGGGCGCCCCAAGAGCGCCCCAAGAGTGCCCCGAGAGGCGACTGTTCGGTCTCAAGACGGGCAAGGCTAATTATGACGAACCCACCCTTCTTTGATCGATGTCCTCCAAGATGACCTCGAGAGGGCATCCAAGGACCCGAAAGAAGGCCCCAAGATGGTCCCGAGAGGCCACCAAGGACCCCCAAGAGGCCCGCAGGGGGTCCCCAAGAGGCCCGCAAAAGGCCTCTGACGAGGCTTCCCAGAAGCACCCAAGACGCCCCAAGAGGCCCGGGGACCGCCAGGAGGCCCCCAAGATGCACCAAGAGACCTCCGAGAAGCGTGCAAGAGATATCCCCAGAGGCTCCGAGAGGCATCCACGAAGCCTCTGGCTCTTCTGCTCGCCCTCCTCCTCATCCGCCTGCTCCTCCTCCTTCTACCCCCTCCCCCATCCATCCTCCTCCTTCGAACGGTGACGGCTGCTCCACTCGTTGTTCCCACACTTCTCTGATCACCTCAACTCGTCTGGACATCGTTTCTGGATGGGCCGGTGGGGACACTCTTTTTTTGTTGGCGGCTCCCTGGCGAAGGTCAAGAAGCGGGGCATAGCCGGTGGGGACACGCGAAGCGTCAATAATACTTAGATTGGGAAACTACCATGTCATTTCGCCGTTGCCGGTATGTTCTTGATCCGCCTCGTCACCCTCCTCCGTCTCGTACATGTGAGAACGTCGGTACCAAGCGTCGCAAAAACTCGTTTCTCGCGGTTGACGACGGACCAGCCTCGGAGCATGCGCACAGCTTGCATTAGCATTCTAGCGTGCGAATAGTGCCTGGCACGGCGGTCCTAAACCATGTACAAGAAAAGGCCTGCGCAACGCAATCCAACCAACCCTTTCGGGCGTGACTTGTCTAAGGAAGACGTCGTCCCAACCCCCCTCCTTCCCCTTTCGGAGAGGAGGGCTACCACTCTGCAACTTATTAATAAACATGATCTACCCCGCTCGACCGGCCACCGACCAAGGTCGATGCGGGCACTCCCCCTACCATTCCTGTCAAAGACTAGCCTGGCGAAGGACCCAACCACATGCAGCTGCGAGTAACGCAGGAAATGGCCCTCTCATCATATGTAGCGCGCCGCGAGAGCCACGGAGCACAGGGCAGCGTGGATGGGAGCCACGAGACGCGTGAGGGAATGCCAGAATGGGCGGGGGAAAGCATGCGACCGTTCCCATTGGGGCCTTCGGTGGAGCTCCTTAATGGGACCACGAAACGTGTGAGGCGTGTGCCAGTGTGGGGGGGAGGGGCGTCATGCGGGCGCACCCACTGGGGCCTTCGGTGGAGCTCCCTACATGGCCAGGACGAAAGTGTTTTCCTCTTGGAGGCCTAAACGCCCATACCCAGGACGAAAGTGTTTTCCTCTTGAGCCCGGAACGACGGTTGAAGTCTTGAGCAAACGCGGATGAGATAACCGCCGTCGGATTCCATGAAGCTCGCGCGGATCCAGTTTGGGTTTTGGTTTCTGTTTCGGAAAATCCGGTTTCCGTCCGCGCGGGCCCGATGGAGGTGGAAGACATGGGATCCACGGGCCCCGGAACCCGCGTGTTTTAAGATTATACAAGGGAAGGGGGTTCGATCATCACCTTTCCAAGATGGGCCCCGCGCTGTCTCGCGCACTCCCATAAACTGTCCGTGCGCGCGGGCCCCACTCAACATTAATGCATCTCTCTCCTCCTGGTTGTTGCGCGCAGCTCGTCCAAACGCCGTCGCTTCGGCGGCGCAGCTTTATCTCACGAACTCATCATCGTCAGTTTCACCTCACGAGGCAAATCTTTCGCCCTGCGTAAGTATGGGCCCGCAAGTGAGGGGGGGGCATGCGAACGCAGCCATTGGGGACTCAGGTGGAGCTTATGGGACCGCGAAACGTGTGATGGGTGTGCCCAAGAGAGGGGGGGCGGCATGCGAACGCAGCCACTGGGGCCTCAGGTGGAGCTCCCTGTGGGGCCGCGAAACGTGCGTGAG